ACTAGCACAAGTAACTAAGGCCACCCATCAGTCTTGTACCCCAATCACAAACAATCTGCTCAAAATTAACAAGAAAAAACATCTATTGAGTTACATTCCCATGACCCCATGAATGAGGTGATTATTAAGGTCCTTCCTTCCAGCCTGCAACACATTATCCTCAAACAGGTAATGCTCGGACCAGATTTCTATGGTTTATTGTTGTAACCAAATCACACCAACCCTCCTTCTTTCAAAACTGCTCCTAAAGCATTTAAGAAGAGAACAATGTTATTTCAATAGGGTTCTCCAATTGTATGACATATTACATTACAGAAATGTGAACCATTTACTAATAAGGGTTATAAGGGCTTTGTCTTGCTAAGACAAAAACTTGACTTTCTCCTTTAATCATGGACCTCAAAATTTGAAAGATGAAGAAGCTACAGCATGAAATGTCTCATATAATATTTTTCTTGGTTGGACACTATGTTGGGAACCGCCCTGCCTGGTTTCAGAAGCTGTAACCCCCGCCAAGGCTAAGGCTGAGGGAGCGACCTTGGACCATAAGCCACCAAGGAGACAAAAGCTTATCTCCCTGGCAGGAGCACCGCTTCTGCTCCTTTTACTTCATCCATAACTGGCCGCCAATGCTTGGCGGGTTAGCCAATGATGGGTAAAATTCCCCAAGGGGGGAATGATCTAAGACAGGCACGATCACATGGGAGGCCCCCAAGAAAGGACTTAGGGGGCTACAGCAAAAGGAGGTAATGGACCCTTGCCCCTCAGCTTTGACAAAGCCTGAGTCCTCATTCTGTTTGCAGAAATCTCCTAATCTCCTGGCTGCCTTACTTCCCTTGCTCCACCTAAGCCTGAAATAATGACAGAGGGTGGTGCAGCCCTGTGCTGGAGAGGGCAGGCTCCCTGGGCAATCGGGCCTAAGAAAGAATATGCAAAATCCTGTGAAACCTGCTTTGTTTAGAATGCTCTCAATTAAATGATAAGGGTCCAAGCAAGAAGTAAGTTTGTTCCTCAAAGTTTTATAGCTCTTGAGCTATCTGACCCAGACTCAAAATAGGCCCTCAGAGTTCTTTGTTACCTATTGTTTGATCCTTACTGCCTGACAATGGTTAATGAACTTTATCTACATTCCTGTGCAAATGAACCCAATGAAAGGCCATTGAGGAAAAGGCTCTTGACCCTTCTCCTTTGAGAGATTGGCCACCTTTCCTCACCAAGCAGATCATGTCTCAGTAGACTTATTCTCATCTGTGGTGGCTGGGGGGCAGGGGATGCCTGTGGGCAGAGCCCCCCCACAACACTACCCTTCATTTTCAAAGCACTAACCAATGTTTACTGCTCCCTGCTTCCAACAAGGAAACGTGTCTTGGAGGCACTAACTACCATGGCCAGAGAGCACACCTGCTCACTCAAGTTCAAAACTTGGGAAATTAGCACACTTTTGACACAACTTCCAACCACTCCCAAACAAGCCTATTAGTAGCATTCTCTTGTTTTTTATCATAGGTGTTCATGTTTTCTTTTTCTTTCATTAGTTTCCATTGTATGTATTAAATGATCCAGGTTTAAGCATATGGTCATTCTAATTTCTTTAAAACAGGGTTTGCGTTTCCCATGGACACCAGCAATCAAGCTGCAACACACTAGTAGAGACCTTGTAAACAATGTCAACAGCCATAGAACCAACAAAAAAAAATCCTAAATCTATTGATTCCCTCTATATCCACTGCTATCCCCACCCCAATCAGAGCTATCTCTTAGAATCTAGAATACTGCAATTGCTTCCGAGCTCTTCTCCCTGCTTCCAATCATCACTTCTCTACCCACCCACAAGCCAAAAAAATCTTTTTTAATGATTTTTTATAATCTTTTTATTTATTTATTTTTAGAGAGAGAGGAAGGGAGGAAGAAAGAGGAGAGAAACATCAATGTGTGGTTGCCTCTCATGTGGCCCCCACTGGGGACCTGACCTGCAACCCAGGCATGTGCCCTGACTGGGAACTGAACTGGCGACCCTTTGGTTCGCAGCCCATGCTCAATCCACTGAACTACACCAGCCAGGCAAAGAAATCTTTTTAATTGCACAGATTATGGCATGTCATTCCCATTGTAAAACCTTCCAAGGAATTTCCTATTGCACTTAGATTAAAATTAAAATGATTTGTTTGGTTTAATGGTCTCCCTGCTTCCACCCTGGTCCCCCAATATCTGCTCTCAACACAGCAGCCAGAGTGATTTAGATCATGATGAGGCAGGAGACAGCATAAGAAGAATTCTGAGACTGCACTGCTATTACTGACCAGTGTCTAGCATCCTGGTTGCCAGGCAACATATTTTACCACTTAGGTCAAATAAATAGTAAACAGAGGCAGAGAGGAGGAAAGAGACATGTTCCACAAGCTAACTCAGCAGTCATGAGCCTGGTTTGATAATATTGCCAGGTGTTCCAACATCACAAGAAACACTGTGTTAGCAAGAAAGAAGGGAAGTCCTTGAAATTCTTTGTAGCTTTCCACTATCTGGGAAAGGAGGCCTTGAAGCTGTGCTTTTATCCCAAGGCCTAGAATGCGGGAGAGAGTCCACGGTGCCCTAAGAAGGAGCCCATAAACAACTTTGGTTAACTGTTTACCTCTGGTCACTATCTGTTTTAGGAGGGAGTCCCTGATGCTTACAGAAAGAGCCCATAAATAACTTTTGAAAGTGCCCCAATTTTAATTAACTGCCTCCTGGTACGTATTTATTTTACAGAAAGATGAACAAATGGAGTGTGGAGCAAGATAAGGATTTGGGCTAACAGGCCCCCACACATACCTAAGTTTGGGTAGTCACATTCCCCCAGGAAAGCTGGCAACACATTTACCCATTAATCAATATGTGACTTTTTTTCCTATCCCAGCAACTATGTAAGTCCTCAGAACAAAGTTTGTTCTCTCTCTTTCTCTCTCTCTCTCTCTCTCTCTCTCTCTCTGCTCTTGGTGCTTTTGGTGCTCTTGGCTCTCGGGCCTCTGGCCACCTGGCCTCAGGTGACCTGGGAGCTTGCCACCCTGGTCTTCACCAGCTCTTACTTTTGCTGTCCTGCTTTGCCCTGAAACTTTGCCTTTCACCCCCTACTCTACCTAGTCCCATTCTCTTCCATGGGAACAGGTCACTAATAAACTGATTACATGCTAATAGATTTGCTGATCTGTAATTCTTTCATGCATCAGCAAGAAGAACCAGGTCTTTCCCATCAACAGTGGTATTCCTCTGCTCCTTCTGGTGGCCACAAAGGCCCTACACAATCTACCAGTCCATTACCTGGGACTCATCTAGTATCATTCCCATCCAAGCTACTTACTCTTCCATCCCTGGAATGTTCTTCCCCCATCTCCCTCATCTCATTTACATTTTAGCTCAAATGTTACCTCCACGGTGACACTGACCATACTAAGATGAAATTCTTTCCCATGCCCATACTCCATTCCTTACTCCCTTTCCTGCTTATTTTTTTCTCTTGACTGCACAGCTGCATCTGCCATAATATAAATTCTAGCAGTTTATTTCTTAATTCATTAGAAAGCTCCATGCAAGCTCCAGAAGAATAGATGGATGCTCATGACACTTGTGATTTTGATCTGCTTTATTCACTTCTGTATCCCAGTGCCTACAAGAGTGTCGGGCACATGATAGGTTCTTAAGAAGTATTATTGAGTGAAGGATCTGATCCTGCCTTCCCTGCTGACCTCCCTGACATCTCTCCTACCTTCTCCCACTTGCTCACTCAGTTCCAGTCACAGTGCCCTCTCTGTTCCTCCAGCTGGCCCAGCTCATGCCCCCTTCCACACCTTCCCTTCTGCTGGGAATGCTGTAGCATCAACCAGTCCATCCCAGGCACTCTCATTTCATACCTGAAATCACCTCACTTATTCATGAACCCATTTGTTTATTTGCTGTCCTCACCATTGACCAAGGATCTCTGGGACACAGGCTTTGTGAACAACAGTTCACAAAGTGCCTGCCATGGGTTTGACACATAGTGAGTATGTTGTTAGAGTAACCAGCCAAGCTCCTGCAGGTCTCCACTTTCTCAAGTATCAAATAAGAAGGCAAAATGAAGATAGATACTCTGACATCTCTTTGTGTTCTTCATAAAATGCTAAAATCTTGTAGCGAGTATAGCTTACAAAGAGTCCTCACTTATGACAGCTCCTGCAAAGCTCTGGGGGGCAATTAACAGGCCTGTAATTACCCAGCTTTACATCTGAGAAAACTGCTGACCATGGGACTGGCCCAAGAGGCACAGCTATTAAATAGTGAAGCTGGGTCTAAATTCACAGCTCTTTCAATACTGCTACTGTGATAATAGAGTTAAACACATTTCTTTAGTCCTTACAAATAGATTCAAGGAACCACAAATTTGCTGGTTTACTGTACAGTCATCCAAAAACCTACATCATGGGAACTTCCCATTGTTTTCCCCAGTCTCTATAAACCTGCTGGTAATTTAAGAATGAATAATTACACAATACAAATAAATTTATCCCTCAGGACTGATCTGATTACTGAACATCTAGCTTCACATAAAGGAATGTTCACTTGTTTCAGCTCATGGGTGCATTCGAAAGTACTGAGAGTCCTGCGGAGTAAGTAGTATTGAGGTGTGCCCGCGGTCATTGCGGGTAGAATGATTTTTGTTGGTTTGTGGTTGGGTGTTTACAATGCTGCGAAGCTCCCGGCCCTGTGAAATGCGCTCAAGGTGCGGAGCACACAGCCACCCACTTTGGCACTCTGCATCCCACCCACCTGCTGACCCGGCCTTAGTGCACTGAGGGCAGGGCATCCCCGCGGTGCTCCGCACCTCCCCCCACCCTGTGCCCCCAAGCGGGGACCTCGAGAGTTCCACCAGTCCCAGCGCGGCTCCGGTGTGGAGGAGTGCGGGAAAGGTGCTGTGCCAGGTCGCCGCCGAGCAGCTGAACGCCCCCCTCCTCGGACCCCGCCCGGACCCCAGGCGCCCGCCTGACCCGTAGGTTGTCAGCAGCGCCTTGTTGACCAGGACGATGAGGAAGGAGCAGGTCCCGTAGAAGAGCGCCGACAGCAGCTGGGCCACCCCAGAGGGTAGCCGGCTGGAGGTGGGGTCCGAGCCCGCACTAGCGCCGTCTGCCTGGCGAGTCATGGCCCGCTGCCGGCCGCCGGCCACCGGCACCCTGTTAGACACCCGCCGCTGCCGTGCTGCGGTCCGCCCCGCCCCAGTTCCGTCCCCTCCCGCTCCTCCTCCGGTCGTCCCACCGAGTGCTGCCTAACCAGGAAGGGCCCCAGCGCGAACCCCACGGTCTGCAAGGCCCTGCGGACGCCCCAAAGCTGCCCGCGGGGGAGGAGCCGCAGCAGCCGAGTTCGTCCTTAGAAATACAGTGCGTGTGAGCACTCGCAGTCTAAAAGGAGATCAAAAATGGATTTGGAAGAGTTCAAATGCCCTACCTCCTTCCAGACTGCTCTTGTGGAGCAATGCTTCAGTTTTAGGGATGATTTTTGCTTTTCCCCTACTTTTTTAAACGTATAATTTACATAGAATGAAATGCAGATTTCACGAGTCCCACAGTGTAATGGTTTTGACACATACACCTATGCAACCACTAAAATTAAAACATTTCCATCACCCCCAAAAGTGCCCTTTTTGCCCCACCGAAGTTTATCAGGAGTTATTCTGATTCTATTGCTATAGGTTAGATTTGCCTTTTCTGTAAATTCATGAGTATGTTCTCTTAGGGCTTTCTCTTTTTGAGAGGAAGGGGGAGACAGAAGGAAACATGGATGTGAGAAACATTGATCCGCGATTGCCTCTCACACGCACCCCAACTCGGAGGAACCAGGGGCCTTTCTCTCTGTAGATCTAGGCCCAATCGGGAGGAACCTGCAACCTTTGCCTCTCTCTACAGGTCAACGCCCAACCGAGCCACACTCCCAAGTCAGGACTCCGGCTTTTTCCACTTCCTTTGTATTTTTGCCACTAGCCCGTTTTGTTGTTGTTGTTTTCTCATTGTTGAATAGTACCACAATTTGTTTATTCATTCACCAATTGAAGGGCATGTTGTTTCCAGTTTAGGGCTAATATAAAAAATGCTTCCATAAACATTCGTGTGCGTGTTTTCATTTCTGTTACATAAGTACCTCAGAGTGAAATGGCTGGGTAAGGTAGGTACAAAGTCTCAAGGCTTCCCTTGCCACTGGGTGCTTTCTGGCAAGTTCTCTCCTTACCTAAGGGTCCACTTCCTATCCAGCGGTATAGCAACTAAGCAAGTGTCTGTTACTGGCGTTAACCGAAGATCGTCCCAGAACTGCCTACTCTGACCAGTTCACCGCTCGAGCAATTTTTCAAATGTCCCATATTTTCATTCTAAATAATTAACTTTAAAAATCTGAAATCTTAGCTTTGTGCTAATTATATCCATGCCATACAATTTTCTATTGTAGGCACTGAACAACCAAGAACATTTTCAACACTAAGAACTAAAGCATAACTTTTGGCAAGTAACTAGCATTAAAAAACATAGAAAGGAGGAGTCCACACTGCAAGAAAGAAAACATACATAAGACCTTTTTAAAACAGAAAAAAATTCATAGGCAAGTTGAATAAAAAAACCTGAACTTGAAATTACATTAATTTCCTGAAAAAGATAGTTTCCAGTGAATCTCCAAGTAAGTTTTGATTGCCAAACAGTAGTCACTTTGAATTGACATCCTTAATCACTTTGCATTTAATTTGCATCTAGGTGGGTGCATCTATACATCCACACTCCAAGACCTTAAACCACTGTTAAAATCACAACTCACAACTAAAGAGTTGCTTGTGAAATTCTTTTGTAAAGCCCCTGGCTGAACCTTGTCATTTCAAGTACAAGACCAAATATATACTAACAAAAAATGAATGAAAAAATTGCACAGATAAAAAGTAAACAGGCTCTGGGTAGATTCTTGAGGAGGTGACCCTAGATCCCATATATCCTGAATAAGTAAAATTAAATCCCATTCCTGATTGTCCTAATGCGATAGGTTTGCAATACTTATCTACACAAGTGTATTTTTACACTGTAATAATCAACCAGATGAGAAAGTTAAATGAATATCTATGATATAAAAGGCCATTATTTTAAAGTAAGACAAAGCAATTCATACTATGGCTCCAGTTATGCTTAAAAGATGACTGGGCCCTGGCCAGGTGAGACAGTTGGTTGGATCGTGGTCCCTATACCTAAAAAGTTGCGGTTCGATCACAAGTCTGGGAGCATAAGAGAGGCAACCAATCGATGTTTCTCTCTCTCTCTCACTCCCTGTCTCTAAAATCAATTAAAAAAATCCTGGAGTAAGGATTAAAAACTATATATATACAACTGGAGTGAAATATAAAATGTATCAAAATAATAATGATGAATGTAGGACCATAGGAGACATTTCTCTCTAAATCTTTTTAATTTTTATATCATGGTTGTTATATTTTTGATAGGAAAACAAATAATAAATGGTTCAATAAGGAACATGTACTTTAAACTGTAAATTAAAATAAAATTTTATTCAAAGCATCTTTTAAGATTACAGCATATTTATTTTTATGCTGTTAACTCTGCCAAACTACAACTTAGCCATATGAAGCATAAAACACTTCAAAATCTGAATGTAAACCACATTTTAAAAACAAAAAGCAGTCTTCATGCACCTTAAATTTTAAATGCCAATGTATTTTGTCCAAGTACATAGCTTATATCAAAAAGAACATTTTAAATATTTCTATAGTAAATAGTTGTATTAATTTCTTAAAATTTTCAATTATACAAGTAAAAAATGTCTGTGAATATAACTATTAAAGTTGACAAAAGCTGACCAGAGAAATTAAAACCATACCTTTGAAGGTCTTAAATTTTATTATTTTTAATTGACAAGTATTTGTATTTTTTAAATTTTTACTGCCTTTCCTTCTTTATGTAATTTCATTAAATGTTTAATTTCCTAAGACTAGTAAGTGTTGCCTCTTATAGTTCATTTAAGTCATACTTGAGAGGGAAAATCTAGAGAAAATGTTGAAACCTAAACCAGGAAAATTCAATGCTATAGTCTCTCACTGTGCTTTTAAGTGCTCCAAGTTAAAATTCTATATATCAGATTACAAACAAAATTCTTAGACCATTACAAATATAAATTTTCTTATTACAAAAACATCTTTCAAGATTTGTAATTCACTGTATTGAGGATTACATTTGTAAAGTATGTCCTCATCATGCACATTATTTGTTACTATCATCTTTCAAACTTTTGCTCCTTTTCAAGACATTTACATGCCTCCCCTTCCCCATTGCTACATATGTGAAACTGTGTGACTGTAACTCATTGGGATTTGGGGAGAAAGAAGCCTATGTTTTAGATAATGTTTAAACTATATATGTAGGCTACTACTTCAATTCAAAATAGAAAAATAAAGGCGCTGAAGAGCCCATGTTTCCCTCTATTATTCTGAGGTTTACTCCAATTAAGCAATTCATAAAAAATTACCATGTTATGTATATTATTTAGTTCCTGCCTAAACAAAAGCTAAAATGATGGATATTTATACCTACATAAAGGAGGTGAACTGCTTAGCTCTTGATTTTTATGATCATGCTTCAGTACATAAAGTGGTGTTTAAAAACTTCATCTATTTGTAAAAAATGGTTTAAAACCACCACGCAAGTTAACACACGTGCAGTTAATTAAAACTATTCCAGAACCTACTTATTTGAGTAGCTAATACTTTCTGCAGTGTTTAACTGATAGCTAAATTTAGTGAGCACAAAATAGCTTGGCATGTTATTCTGAAAAGCAAGGTAGCTTTATGCACTGAAAATATAAATAGGAGGCTTTCATTTGCTAGTAATTCTAAACAAGCAGTACAATTAAAACTTAGTGTTTGTTAACAAAAGATTTAAAACAGGTCACTACAAAACAACCCTGTAGATGTCCATTTTATTAATAACAATCCAAGTGCCAAATCTCATTACAGGGCTCATATTTAAAAAAAAGAAAGAAAGCAATTACCAGGTTTACCTAGACTTTGCAAGATTAATCACTCAATTTCAGCAAATGAGAAATATGAAATGTGCAAAAGTTCCCTAGTTAACAAGAGATGACAAGTGCTTTTCAAACCTAAACATCATAGTATATATAAAGCCTCATAAAGATAGAAGACTGATTTTACTCCAATTTTGAAAATCCTGAACCATTATGCAACCTACCAAGATCCTCAGATATCTATTTTCCCTCCAAAGTCTGTAACTTAGGACATCTTCCAAAATAGTCAGTTCTCCACTTCTCTAGTATTGTTAGTCACACTATTTTGCAATTTAAAAATATACATCTCACATAGACCTTACATTTTCTTGCTTACTTCAGTGTTTACAGTATTGTTAAATGTACTAATATACATTGTTAAAAATGATCTTATAAATAACCTATCTTAACCTTCTTTGGCTACATGTTCTATTCTGGTTTTTTTTTTTTAATAAAAGTGTCTTATTCAAAAAGTGCTTCCTGTGAGAACTGCTTCCAATGAATGCATTAAACTTGCAAAATCTAGCTTCCCACAATATGTAGTTTCCTACCCTGTACTAGAGGTCCCATATTTACAAAAATATTTTAAACTTTACAACAACCCATTACCATATTTTAAAAAGTGCAATTCTCTCTCACCCCATATTCCGGGGCAATGACATTCTTCATGAATTTCTACAGAATAGCAGCCTATGATAAGCAAATAAGGTGCTTAGCTTATGCCCAGGGATCTACGTTTGGTACTCTGGGCGGTACTTTTGTACAGTGGAAAAGTCAAGTGTGCAGGCTACTGGCGCAGTGGCGCCCCCGTCAGGTTGGCGAGCTCTATGAGAGCGAGGGCTCCATGTAGGCGCTCCCGCTGCTCCTGCAGCCGGCGCTGGGCACCGCTCTTCTCATCGTCTTCCTCGTCAGATTGAAGGTATTCCAGAGGGTCCTGCTGCTCCTGATCAGCCTTTTGGGCGAGCTTTCCTTTCAGGGTTGGGGTACGCTGCTCCCTTGTTTCCCAATACCTATGGGAAATGCATCTGCATTAGTTAAATGGTATACCTGACATTTTCAAATGTTTACTTTTTTAAAAAAGATTCTTTACCACAGTATTAAATATACTTCGGTTTAAAAGCTTATAAAGTGATTTCACATATATATTACATATCTTTCTCATTACAGAGGAAAAAATTCAAGCTCAAGAGAGATTTTCTCAGATTTCCAAAATCAAAAACTGGC